CTCTTTGCCTTTTTTGGGTATTTTGGGGGGTTCAGAATGAATCTGGACGCATCCTCCTCCATTGCCCACTGCTGGTCTACGTGGTTGCATTTCACCTTTACACACCTGTTGACCATGTAAGTCAATATACTCGGTTGTAGTGGGTCCCCTTTTGACATTGCCTTTGCTGGCGTGGCATCTATACACTGACGTGAGTGACCTCCTAGAAGGCTTCAACTCTTCCAAAGTTGTGTACAAATATAAATATTCTAATTACTTGAGTTATATAAGTCACTTATATATTATTTAGGGCATTTAAAATGAAAGCGAAATGTTTGGGCTCGACTTTCGTCAATGACAAAGTTAAACCACATTATTGCTAAACCCAACTCATCTCCTTTAGTGTAGATAATATCATTTGTTAAAAAAAAATTACTAGGTTTTGTTATTTCCAAACTACAAATAGGACTATAAAAGAGTTGACAAAGCTTGAACATTGATATGTTTAGCTTAAAACTCGCAACCTATTTGTTTATAGAAATTTTGTTTTTGAATGAATATACAATGTTGATGCACAAAATCGGAGGGGTTTTGGAACAATATAAATCTGCAAGAAAGTAATGAACACAAGATGTATCGTGGTTCACCCTAATGTTTGGGCTACGTCCACATTGATGTTAATATTGTTTCACTCTGAATGGTGAATATACAAGAAGGCTAGAGGCAGTGTGCTCTCTAGCCTATTTTATGTGTTTGACCTCTCTGAGATGTTTTCTCTCTTCCCATGGCCTAAACCTTCACCCCCCTAATGAGGAGAGTGAGGAGTCCTTTTATAGAATAATGGCTCCTCACTTATTACATATTTGCCCATTCATTTATTACATAATTACATTTGAGTCTTCCGAGTATTTATACGAAGTCTAAATACAGAGGCCCTAAATATGGTACAAACAGTATTCCCCAAAAAGGAAGGGAATATATTTATCATCTAATGAATCGGTATCAAATTCAAATAAAAAAATTTAAATTTAAAACTTTTCACTTTCAAAGTGGAAGGGAATATTATTACTAGTTGACATGGATTAAGAGAGATATTTTTTTCTTAGAACAAAATTAAGAGAAAGATATTAATATGGGTGAGGTTAAGGGCACCCGTAACCGGTTCTATCTGTTATTTATTTCCTCCACTGACTGCGGGTGGGTACAATAGTCATTTTACAAATGAGATGAATCCGAAAGTGAAGACTGACAGTAGGTGGTAGCGGAGCGGACATTACATACATGAACGAAAGATAGTATGGTGGCGCAGCAGCTCCTGGTGGGACCCATCCCCATCAGCGGTGGCAGTGGCGGCCCCGGCGCCGGCGGCTTCTATGGAAATTTCAGTCATTTGTTTTCCCTGCCACCGTGTCATTTTCAACGCAGAAGAAGAGCCAGAACCCGTACTCGCCGGTGGACCCCACAATCGGCATCGCCAAGAGCCATGGTCAACGCCCAGCAGACCCACTACGCGGTGCTGTGCCTCCCACGCCATGCCACCGCCGCCGATATCAAGAGGGCTTATCGCCTTCTCGCTCGTAAGGTGCTCACTCACTTGTCCCTTAGCTTCTGCTTTCTCTTTAATTACATTTTTAGGTTTGCTCCTCAGAAGCCCTAGAAATGACCGTGTAAAATTTTGAAATTCTGTACCTTAGCAGTTCATTGTAGCTGGGAAAATTATAATTCATTACTTTTTTAGTGGAGATTGATAGTTTTATCGTGTTTGTGTGGCGCTACTGTTTTCGATTTCCAGAGAATCTGTAGTGGAGAAGTGTACGTTCTGGTGGTGAATTAATTTATATAAGCATGTTTGAATGCTAAAATAATTCATCTTTGGATATGTTAGTGATAACAGTTAACTTTAGTGATCAAATTAAATTTACTATTGGCGGAGATTACAGATGATGTGTATATCAAATTAACCTTACTGATCAAATTAACTTGCAACCAATCGGTTGCAAGTGTATGTCAACATGGTTATAATTGCTAGAGTTCGGCAGTTAATATGTTCTCGTGATTTAGCAACAACATTCAACTGCATCATATTTGGAGGCTGAAATACAGAGATGCATTCGGAAATGTTAGGAAAATAAATCATACATATGTTTTATTTTCTTGTAGTGAGGGAATGAACTGTACCATTTAATAAATAGATTTCATTTAATATTTTTGTTCTTTTTTATGCGTTTTCTATGGAGTCTTATATTGATGTGTGCCAGTGTAGTGATGAAAGGATATTCATATCCTTTACGTGAGACGCAGGACAGGTATTGATACCTGGCTACACTCTAGTTTGGTGGGATGACTGTGAGTTGTGAGGCATCAATGCATTTGGGCTATTTCTTTTAGCCTTTTGTCCAAACCTTATATCAAGTTCATCCCTGTGGAATGGAATGAACTCAGATTTGATAGACGGAAATTTAGTGAGAGTTAGAGAGTAGACAAGAGAACTGAAAATTGGTAATGGATGCCATTGGTTTATTTGGCATTTTGGCAAGTAGACATTCAACATTCTACAGGAATGTTCATCTCATTCCAAAGTTTGTTCCAATAAACCAAACGCTACCTTATCGAATAGCAAATAAATGAAAGAAGGGGACTTGTGTACCATATTACACCTATGAGGAAGAAGGTGGAGAAAGAAGTGCAGCAATCTTGTTCACATTGATTTTCAATGTATGGGCCGTGTATGGAACTTGTGTTAGTAGTTTTTCGGGAGACTTCCAACTTCATTACTTGAAATTTTTTTGGGAGAAATATAATATATCTTTACTGTCATGGTTTTGTTTTTCAATTCTTTCATAAACCATTATTCAATGAGGGAAACTGTATGAACACGTGCATATGCATATACAATCAGTCACTCACACACACCCACACCCTTTGGAAGGTATCCATTGTCTGCTTCAACTTATATTGCTGAACGATGGATGTCTTGTCAAACTGTAACATGCAATAAATATGCTCCATCTGATTAGTGCAAAACTGTTGCAAGATTGTGTTCAAGTATATACCAAATATTTCTGGATTCGTGAATTCTTTGTTTATTCTTTTATGCTTTATTGCTTATAGCTATTGAAGCACATGCTATAATGGACTCTGGGTGTGTATGTGTTGGTATATAATTTCCTTGCTGGCATGCTTTTATGTGGCCCAAATGGTGAGAGGTACCTCTTGAGGAACCCCTGGACATCCTTAGTTTGGCATGATGCTATTGCACTTTGATTCGTGCATATATCCATAATTCTTGTTTTACTCCCCTACTGCATTTGTTGTTAGGAGGTCCCACTGAAATTGGTTGTCAAAGAAATTACAGACTCTATGAGGCAGAGGCTCACAATTAAGAGCTTACGTATTCTTGCCTATGTGTTGCAGTATCATCCTGATGTTAGCAAAGATTCTCAAGCTGGAGAGGTGTTCAAGAGCATCCGTCAGGCGTATGAGGTGAGTAATTACTGATACATAATAGGGGACCTTGTTTCTATGTAATCTAATATCATAAACTAAGCCTCTTTGTTGTTGGACCTAGGTTAATAATAAGTTAAGGAACCAAGGATGAAACTATTTTATTTCAACTTTCAGTGAGTTTTTTTCTTTTACTCTTCATATTCTCTCTCAGGAAATCCATTTCCTCCTCTACAGCCAATCATCTCTCTTCCCACCCCCAACTTCTACCATGTTGTAGATTCTTTTGTTTTCTTTTTACCAACTAATGCTTTCATATGAATGTAAAACTGGAAGTCTCTTTTTGTTCTTTTGAGAAGACCTTTCTATATTTTTTGACATCTATATTGTAATGGATGGTATTTACATAAAACCAAACTTAATAACTTTGGTTACCCATAAGCCTATTGTTTCTTTTTTTTTTTTTTTTTTTTTTTTAGCATTTTCTGTTTCATTCATGTGTAGTAACGCAATGACAGCGCCTTCATGTTACCTATAAACAGGTTCTATCCAATGAAGCAACGAGGGCTCAATATGACCGGGAACTTAGATTACAAAAAGATACTGGTAGGCAACATAGTGGAAAATGGAACTACAGCACTGAATTTGAAGATGAGGTAAGGATCTATAAGTGGGCTGAAGTACGGCAGAGAATGCAACGGGAGAGATACTGGGAACGTTATAATGTTAATGAAGAGAGTTCGTCATATGGTAAAACTGATGGAGCAACTGAAGAAGGAGAGCCAGAGCAAGAGAGAGGTTCCTTCAGTGAAGTGCTTAGATCAGCCTTCGTATCTCTGTTTCTATTGCAGACATTTGGATCTCGGTTATCTCTCACGTTTAGCAGCCTGATGGCCTTGTTTGACAGGAAATTGGATGCCGGATACAAGATTGGTTATGTAATTGCTTGGGTTTTGGGTGGGAGAGGCGGGATCTTGCTGACTTTGTGTCTGTCGTTTGCAAGTTGGGTTTGTGGGAAAACCAGCAGCAATATGGTTGCTCTGGTGGTGGTAGCCATGTGGATCGGCTCCAATCTTGCAAAATTTGCACCGCTCCCGCAAGGTGCCCTGCTCACGCTTCTGTACATGTCTATTAAGCTACAAGTTGATTTGAACTAAAAGAAAGGCTGCTGATGCGTCTCCAATGTGACGCTTAAATGTCGTTCTCTCCCTTTTTTTTCTTTTCTTGGTTTAATTTAAAGAATGATGTTGTACATATGTTATACATGGCAGTAGTGTAAACTGGTTATTGGCAACGGATTTAGATGAACAGTTGGATCATTTAGACGACGGAGTAATGCTAAAGGTAATGCTAGGAAGACTAAATCTTCATTATCTAGCAATACTGTATTTTGTTTTGGATCACTTAGGCAACGGACTAAATCTTCATTATCTAGCAATACTGTATTTTGTTTTGGTAAAAGACCAAGGGTAATGCTAGGAAGATTAAAGAGTCCGCATCTTTCGGACACCATATGCTTGCCCTTATCATCAACCTCTAACATGTCATCAACCTCCTTGCTCGTGAAACGAAAAAAATTAGGAAGAAATTAAAATAAAATCAAGAAGATTAATTTGCACGGTTTTACAATTATATACCCTCGATTGGAAAAAGTAGACAAGCATGCTTGTACAATTTGGTAATCAACAACTAACATTTTACTTTGACTTGGTTCATCTCCTTAAAATTCCTCCACAAGTATTTCCCGCTGGCCATGTCCACAAACACCCAGAAGCCACTCTGAATCATCTGCAAATTCAAAACCCAACATTAATAAAATGAATGAGAGAGAGAGAGAGAGAATACTTGAATGGAATACTAAAGAACAAAATGAAGGAGGAAATAAACAGAAAATTCTTGAATGCTACGAGCATTGGATGGCGTTGATTGGTTTGGATTATTTGGTCCCGTGAATCCAGACCATCCAATGGCTGCGTAGCACCAAAGTGGGACTTGGAAATAAACATACAGTTTTAGAATTGAATGCATCTTCTTCTTGTTTGGGTGATCCTATAGCATTTTCATTGTTGGTAGAATCCAGCTGTGAGATCATCATGTCGGTTCCGTCGGGAGAAGAACAAACCGTCCTCCACGCGAAGTATCCTGCAAGGATTGCTGAGAAGAAGACCAAGATGAACCTTAGAGGACACATTTGATTTAATTTGTACGAAAGATAGAAAGAGAGGAGAGAGAGGGGTTGGGATTTGGATGAAGCTCTGAGAGACCAAAAACAGAAACCCTAACTAAGCTGCTAGTTGTGTTTGTAAGGAAGATGGAATAGTAGAGAAGCAAAAGAAGGAAAGCCTTTGCTTTTTGAAGGTTGGGAGGGAGAAAGTGAAACCGCGTTGTTGGTACGTAAGAGGAGAAGTTTCTTCTTCTTCGTTTTCCTTTTTCTTGTGCATATGTTAGGTTGCGTAATATCTGACGTGGGACGACGTTGTGTATTTCAAAAGATATCGAATTGTCAAAGGTCTAGCTAGCTGGCTACCTGCCGCTCCTCTCCTCTTATTCCTCGAATTGTCAATGGTCAACGGTTGTATGTATCCATGCCATCCTGGACATAGAGATAAGAGGTGTGCGGTCCACTATCTCCCTCAGGTTAGCTCCGTCCAGCCAGCCGTCTAAACTTCAATTTTGACCTGGTTTATTTTACCGTGCAATCTTTTTTACACATTTTAACGCATTTTAGTCAATCTCACCGCCAAGTTTACCTCTAAGGTTTTTACTTAGTAACTCAATTCGTCCATTTTTTACTTATTCAAGTGCAACTTCGATCATACGTACATGGATGCAGACGAAATAAGATAATGTTGTAGACGAAGAGATAGATGAAAAATGGCTTACCAAATGAGGTCCATATACTCAATAATAGCATGATAAATTCCCCATACATAATAACAGTTAAATTGATTTCGTTCAGGAGATCTGATCAATTGTGTAACAATTTGTAGCTTGTCTTTGCCAACTTTCAAATCATACATAAAATTAAAAAATTAAAAAACTAAAAATGCTTTTACATACCTTTAACCACAAAGGGTGCAAAATGTAGTACGAGTACTTAATCCTCATTCAAACGTCATTAAGTGTCTAGGATTGAGTTTGGTTGGAAATAATTTACTAGATTCAGTATACCTTGAAGGAAGAAATGGGTGCAACTTTCAAGTTGGGCCAATGAAATTAAAAGGGTGACGTCATACATTTCATTTTTTGGCCAAAGATATTCATTTGAATCATTGTATCATGCCACATACAATGATTCTAGTGAATTCTCTAACCTATTGCAATCCATTCTTGACACCAAAGCATGCGCGAGTTGAAAGAACGAGAGCTCTTACCTGTATTTGTGTTGCTCTTAGGCTCGTTTGGTAAGCAGAATAGTAACATGAGAGTGTAGACATCGAAATTTCGGTAAATAAATGTTGACCGGTAAATCAAAGTGTCAACGCTCATGTATTACATAAATTTTACACGTAACGTGTGACTCAACGAAAATTGAAATGAGTTGGAAAAGTCATCAAATAGGACACGTGTCAACACCTGGCAGAAACGACTTATTTCATCTGGAATATTATATTCAAAATTAGGCCTTGGAAAATTCTATAAATACAAGCCCATTTCATTCATTTGGGGAACCAATTCAGATTACACCTTGAAGCTCTGAAGCTCTGAAACTCCGAAGCTCTCAAGCATCCAAGTTCCCGAAGAATCAAGAAAGCCTTCGTTCTTCGTTCATCGTTCTTCCAAGATCAAGCCCCGGCGGCCCTTGGATCAACAATCATCCACCAATTCAAGATCAAGCCCCGACGACCCTTGAAGAAAGTGTTCTTCGTTCATCGTTCTTCCAAGATCAAGCCCCGACGTCCCTTGAAGAAAGCACCATCGTTCATCATCCGTTCATCCAAGATCAAGCCTCAACGGCCCTTGGGATCAACAATCATCCACCAATTCAAGATCAAGCCCCGACGGCCCTTGAAGAAATTTCAAACAAAAGTTCAAGAACAAGCCTCAACGGCCCTTGAAGAAATCTCAAGCCCAATTCAAGATCAAGCCTCAACGGCCCTTGAAGAAATCTCCAGCCCAATTCAAGATCAAGCCTCGACGGCCCTTGGATCAACGAAACACCCACCAATCAACACCTTACGGAGATCGAATCAGAGGATCAAATTTGAGAGAGATTGTAACCCAAAATCATCAAATACTTAATATTTGTTTGTGCACGTTCGTTCTTGTCTCTTTCGTTTCAGGAATTTTCCGTGTTCACAAATTGGCACGCCCAGTGGGACCATCTCTACCTCTCATCTCTTTCTCCGTTCAAGGAATCCAAGCACACCTCAAAGTCAATGGCATCAAGCAAGGGACAAGCCGTTCTTGCAACCACTGAGGGAAGGATCCTAAGCACTTCTGCCGCAAACGGACAATCCATTGGCGCCACAACCGCTCCTCAACATGCCACTTCAAAATTGGTGCCGCTAAAAGAACAAGGGGAGCATCCAAGGTGTGAGTCTGTCATCAACCTGATCTCGCTGGGGGCACCGAAGCATGATGCTGAGGCACATAAGATGACATCTCAAAGCAGCCAACGACGTTCTTCATCAGCATCCTGGATGTCTAAAGGAAAGTCACGTCTATTGGTCGCACAAGTCATGACTATCGGCGTTACCTCCGTTGAAGAACAACTGGCTCAGATGAATGAAGCAATCGCAAGGCTAACCCGAACTGTGGAAGAAAAAGACTTGCAAATCGCTGCACTCGTCAACCGACTGGAGCCACAGGACGACGAGAACCCTAACCCAGAAGATGAGCCTCAGGTGGAGAAAAACGATGCGAAGCCCGAGCCAGACCAAGCAGCGGCACTCATGGGATCTCTTTCTATCCAGCAGCTGCAAGAGATGATCACCAACACCATCAAGGCACAGTACGAAGGGAGCTCAAATACCTCCGGGTTGTACTCAAAGCCGTATTCAAAGAAGATCGACGCCTTAAGGATGCCGATGGGTTATCAACCACCAAAGTTCATGCAATTTGATGGAAATGGAAACCCGAAACAACACGTTGCCCACTTCGTTGAAACCTGCAACAACGCAGGAACCGAAGGGGATTACCTCGCCAAGCAGTTTGTGCGCTCGCTGAAAGGAAACGCCTTTGAGTGGTACACGGATCTGGAGCCTGAGTCCATCAACAGTTGTGAGCAATTAGAGCGGGAATTCCTCAACCGCTTCTATAGTACCCACCGCACTGTGAGCATGCTAGAGCTAACGAGCACAAAGCAGTGGAAGGACGAGCCAGTCATTGACTACATCAACAGATGGCGCACTCTAAGCCTCGACTGTAAAGACAGGCTCTCGGAAACCTCTTCAATCGAGATGTGCATCCAAGGCATGCAATGGGGTTTGCAATACATCCTTCAAGGCATCAAACCACGGACCTTCGAAGAGCTAGCCACCCGCGTCCATGACATGGAGTTAAGCATCGCCCATCATGGGAAGAAGGAACCGATCGCCGACTACAAGAACGACAAAGTTCTTGGGCCAAAGTTGGAGAAGACTGCGTGGAAACCCACCAAGGAAGCAATGACGGTCAACACAGCTCCCGTCAAAATCTCCACACGAGGCAAGGCGATTCAAACCGAAGCTTTTCGTGATCAAGAGATGCGTAGACGCACTTTGAAGGAGCTTGAGGAGAAGATTTATCCATTCCCCGACTCTGATGTAGTTGCCATGCTGGATGACCTGTTGGACAAGAAGGTGATCAGTTTGCCTGAGTGCAGACGGCCGGAAGAGATGAATCGTACCGACAGTCCAAGGTACTGTAAATTCCACCGCTTCATCAGTCATCCGACAGAAAAATGTTTCGTGCTGAAAGATCTCATCATGAAGCTGGCTCAGAAAGGAATCATCGAGCTAGATCTTGACGATGTGGTGAAGTCAAACTATACCACCTTCACTTCTGGCTCTTCCGACTCAAAGTTTTCACCTCAACCACTGGGGGCATCCTCAAAGACAAGCAAAGTTGAAGGATGGACTCAAGTCACTCCTAAGAAATTGCACAAGAAGCATACGTCTCCTCCACAAGTCCGCCAATCGGAAAGGGGGCAAAGCAGCTCTTGTCAACCTTCAAAGCAACGTGAACGTGTTGAAGATGATGAAATTGCGACACAAAGATCGTCCGTTGCCATCACGATGTGCGACTTCTTGCCCGAAGACTTCTTCAATCACGCGGTCAAAGCTCCTTGCTATGAAAATTGTGAGGAACGCCTCTCCCGGATTGCTTGACAAAATTCACAAATGCTCCTCGCCTGCACGAGCCTAAACTGCATGGCACAATGCTCCTTGTTCGCACGAGCTTAAACTGCAAGACACAAAGCTCCTTGTCTGTAAGAGCCTAAACTGCAAGACACAATGCTCCTTGTTCGCACGAGCCTAAACTGCACGAACCAAAGCTCCTTGTCCGCACAAGCCTAAACTGTAGGACATGAGGCTCCTCGCCTGCACGAGCCTAAACTACATGGCACAACGCTCCCGATCCGCAAGAGCATAAAAGGCGACATCAACGCTCCTGATCCGCACGAGCATAAAAGGCAACACCAAATGCTCCTTGTCTGCACGAGTTGAAACTGCATACGACACCAAAAGCTCCTTGTCTGCACGAGTTGAAACTGCAAACGACACCAAATGCTCCTTGTCTGCACGAGTTGAAACTGCAAATGACACCAACACTCCTTGCCTGCATGAGTTCGGCACAAAAAAAAAATACCATAAATATGTATGTATTTGAACTACGTTACAACTTGATCTCTTTTTTGGAGGGGTACGTAGGCAGCTCAAATATTCAAAATTTGAGTTCAGTCACACCAAAATAAGGAATTTAATTAAAAGTTTTGATGCTATTACAATTTCTTTGTACAAAAAAAAAAAAAAAAAAAGAGATACATGTTTTACGTATTTACAAAAAAAAAAAGAAAAAAAAATACATATGTTTTATGTATTAAAAAAAAATATATATATATATATATATGGATCCCAAAGCAACACCAGGCCCAATCTGCTGCAAGCCCATCAAAAGAAGTCGTCCTGATCCAAAAGATACCAAAGGCAGCCCACTCAGCAGCCTGTCGACATCAACATCATCATCAGCCGCGTCAGTCTCTCGCTTCAATTCCCACGGCGCTGAGAAGCCAATCAAGTTTCTGATCTATGCCGCACGGGTCGGGTCAACGGCATCCTCGGCAAGCTCTCAAAACCCAATCCGGGATTAAGGTTATCGGTGTTCCCAAACCGCGCCGCAGTCGTCCCTGCGCAATTCCGGAGCCGCTATTTCTGCCTCGAGACCTCCTGCACACACCCGGAGCAAGGTGGCCTCCACCACCAGTT